CACGTTTCACGGACACACGTTTTGTCGACACGATCGTTTCATCGAAACTCGTTAAGCGAATTGAACGCTGTAGGGAGTCTAGGGACATCTCGTCACGCGTGTATCATTAGTAAGGGTTCTGATGGAGTTGCCTGTTATCGCATGTTGCTCGTCAGTCATCAAGCGGGGTCGTCTGGGTGGCAGGTTGGTGTGACCATGAATCATTTGGATCTGTCTGAGTGTCCGGCTTTCAGTGACGTGTATACACTCTAAAAAAAGGGTGTATTCTTACACCTTTTGTCTTCTATAAGACACCCCAACACTTCAGACGTCGATCTGACGGTACTAACTTTCACGAGAGGCTTGATAGCCGTGTGGTACAACTTATTAACATAGCTAGTGTACGTGTTACTGACTGCAAAAAAGATAATCGAGGTTTTCTTGGCCCTACTGCAAAATCTCAGCGCTTTCTTTCTGTGGTCTTTGATACATACTTTAGCTATATTTAATCAGTTATATCGCTCCGTTATCAAGCCCCTTGTTAAATGTATGGCCCTCTGTGCGCTGTGCGTCAAACTAAAGTTTTGGGGTGCGTTATATGGGACAAAAGGATGTATGGTGATACCCTTTTTTTAAAGAGTTCTTTTTTGGTGGTGAGGGTATTGACGTATATATAAGAGCGTTCCTTGTTCAAATAAGCTACATCCGTTTTTTTCAAGAAAAAAAGAAAGTTTCGAGCATTTATTTATTTATTTATTAAAGTACCCTCAGGGCCCGAAGGCATTACAAAGGGGGAGAGTACATACACGAAACAAAGATGTTCGTATACGCGACGCAAAGTCTTACGAGATTTGGTTGTCGAAGAAAGAAGCGATGATTTTGGCGCTAGAACGTGTACGTCTTGATAACACATATAGTAGAATCCAGCTACATATATCTCAATTCTCCACATAAAGGTGGAAATTAGTAATGGTTTGCAAGGAGTCGGACTCTTTTTGCTAGAGTTCTTGACATGAAAACGGGTATACAAGCTGTGTTTGAGACTTGTTGTCTAGTGCGTTATTTTTATCGTTTCGTGTCTCCCGTTAGTATGGAAGTTCTTCACCAGCTCGCCTGTGTTTTTAAAGTGCTATAATGGACTGAACGGTTTTGTAGACCGTAAAATGATTTAATGAGAACTTTGTGAAATAATTTGATACAAGAGGGCTATATTCGCGTCCGTTTTCAGGCTTCTTTCAAACGTATTTTATTTTGATCCACACGCCTGGCTTGTTCGTGTCACGTCGTTTTTCTAGGGGTCCTTCTTTCTCGTTTCCACGCCGGGATCCAGCATCGGGGGTCGAAGTCGAGCTCCCATCAGGTCGAGTCGGGGAGGCTCTCCTTACGGGTCTTTGCCGCCAGCGTGTTTGCTTACACTCCCGAGCTCAAAATCCTTGCGCCCACTGTGCTTGCGCCCTCGCACATTTTGTTAATGTTGTCATGATCCTCTGTTATGCGTCTAGCCATCGTGGAGGGCTGCGTCGGCGTGATGCGCTTGTAATCGGAGGATCTGCTGCGGTGCAAGGCGAGTTGGTTGAAATCGACGTCAATCGCTGCAGGTTGTTCGTGAAAAAAAAAAGAAAAAAAAAGAAAAAAAGAAAGAGCTATCGTGCGGCAGCTTGGCGGCAATCCGGTGTGTTTTGCGAGGTAAACCTGGAAATAGTGTAGGTTTGATTGCTCACGTTGGTGATGACTTAAGTGTTCGTGGAAAAGCAGGCCAAGTTTCGAGGTAAGGCCGTTCGTGTACCATACCCTGTCCCTGACGCTGTATGGAGCTGGTCGATATTTTGCATCGTATACGCTTCATGCCGTGAAGGTAAGCGTGGTTCGCGTTTGCAGCGTCGCAGTTCGCGCGGACGTCGCCGACCTCGATCGTCGGGAAGCGGGAAAAATTCCATAGGTCGACGTGGGACAAAGTTGAACAGGAGTTCGAACGGTGATCTCTGGAGTCTGGCGTACGGCTGCTGGTTTACTCGAAAGCTGGTTGCCTGGAGATAATCGCTCCAATGGTCGATGTCGCCGTTGACTTTCTTTCGCGCAGACATGGAAGGATTTTTCCGTTGGCGCGTTCGACAAAGCCGTTGGTTTGGGGAGCCTAATTGGTACTATTAGGGATGCTCTGAATGTGCCTGCCGGCAAAGTACCGCGAAGCCGAACGAGAGGTTAGGACCCTGTCCTTGTCGGTAATGACGGCTTGCGGCGTACCGAATGAGTATGAGTTCTATAAATCGAAGGACGTGCTCGGCCGACTTGTTAGGCACGGGGCGTGCGACAAGCGCGTGGTGAGGCGGAACGCGGTGATAAAATACCTGTTGCCGTCGGTCCTCGTCTTGTGGAGGATCTTGCGCCGCGGCTGCCAGCCGGCGACATATTCTCTTACAAACGAGAATAAACAAGACGCCGAAGTACCTAATTCTTCTAATGGACGCACTCTTCACAGCGAAAGCAATGCATACCTCTCCAGAAAAAAATAAAAAAGTGTGTTCCTTTTAATGGTATTTGCATCTTGCTTTCCAAATTCAAACGACTCCTTTCTCTCTCCCCTTCACTCTCTAATTTACACCCCCTTCCCCTTCCCAATCCCCCCACCCCTCCCCTCCCTTTTCCGCGCCACGCCGCCGCCGATCCGTTGATCCCCGCGCCGTCAACACGCCGCCGCCGGAGGTACAAACACCGGCGCGCCGCCGCCGGCGATTTCTGACCGGCGCACAGGTCTACCTCCACCGATTGGCCGGGACACAGGAGCGCCCGCGTTTTTGTGCGCGTGGAGAAGAAGTTGAAATCAACCAACTTTCTTGTGCACGCCCGGAAGGAGCGAAGAAGCGGCGCGACGTCACGAAAATGCGTCACATCCGCAGCCGCACGACCTACAGGCGCAAAAAGAAGCGTTGGTTTGGATCGCGCTTAACGGTCCACCGACTTCCCGGCGCCAGCGGCCAGCGCATCTCGAGGCGAGAGGCGCGGGTTCGGAGAGAGAGAAAGCGCGCCCAGACACGTTGAAAGAGTGAAAGAGAAAGTTACAATAACAAGCTTCAAAGCCATTCACACCTTCAAAACAACTTCATCTTTATTTGACATCATTAGATATATGAATCAATGTTATTTAAAATAAAATAACAAGTGCCAACAGCCGCTGGAAGCGCGGGAATCGGAAGCAATTCGCCGGACCGGACAAACGTCATAAGTATACGCGGCGGGACGGAAGTAGCCGAGAGCTTCACCCCACTGGCCGCGCGATCCGCGCTGCGTGGTTCGGCTGCGTGGCATCTTGGCGCACGGCGCGCCGGGGCGGAGGCGCCGCGATTCTGGCACTTTTGGACGTAACAACCGGGAAAGCAAACGTAACAGGCAGGAAACTAATACATGTATCTCTATGGAAGTAAAACGGGACCGGCGTTTTTGAACGCAACGGACAGGAAAACATATCAACCAAGAACGTATCAACGAGGTTCTACTGTATTTATCTCGTTTCCTTATTTCTTCATTCTTTTCCAAGTATTCGGGTCACGTGTGTGTTCCCCGGATGTTGGGGTATCCCATGCCCATATCCTGCTTTCTTCAACGTAAGCTTCAATGCACACAGATTGTTTGTCCGACACTGTAAACTGTCAAGAAAAAACACAGAATCTGTGGCAAAAAATAAACTCAGAATAAACACCCCCAGTCGAAGAAAAGTGAAATCGAAATCACAGAACCCTACTTTATTTACGAATACTGTTCACTTCTAACAGGGGAAAACTTCCCATGAAATATACAAGTTCACATAATGTTCACAGGAAGTATAGAAGACAAGCTCACATATTTAGAGCAGAGTGTCGAACCAGTCATCATCCCGGTTCGGCTAGAAATCAGGTCCGACCTTCGTACTTTCTTCTGGTTCGGCTCTGATTCAGACATGCATAAATAATATTGGCTTGATTGCCGGTTCTACCGGGCGTCTCAAGTAGCGGCCAGGCTATTTAAATCGACCGCGAAATTCGGTTTCTTAACCTATTGTGCTACAATTTTGGGCAGTGTTGCCCACGGGTGGTGCATTTTTTCTATAACATTTGCAAAGAGGGAACTTACCTGAGGAAGGTGTAAAAAGAGGGAAAGGCTTAACTCCTATGGAAACGCAGCAAAGCCACCGGTCTTGAAACAATAGGGTGCCCTATTGATTGAAGGCTTCACTGCATTTCCATAGAAGTTAAGCCTTTTTCCATCTTTGCTTTTTTCTCAGGTATGTTCGCTTTTTGAAAATTTTATAAAAAAAATGCACCACCTGTGGCCAACGCTGCACAAAATCGTAGCATGATAGGTTAAAGGGCCGTTCACACTCTTGCGACCGACTACGACTGAGAGAGACGAGATCTCTTAAAACTTCTTAAATGTTTTTAGAATGCGGGAACACACTGGCATTGTGGCGCCATCTATGCGGTGACCCTGGAACTGCATTTCACAAGAGCAAAGGTTTTGCGGGGTTTGCGAGGTCAAATGTGCGTAATACCCATAGAAGGGCTCGTTTATAACATTGAGAAAAGTTTTTCGAGCCAAGAAAGAAAGGATAATGTGCGAGAAATAAAAAAATATGCCGGACCGCCGAGTTTACACTGCTTCCCAATAGATGGCGCCAGTGTGTTCTTTGGTTTAAGAAGTTTTAAGGAACCCAGGTTTAAGAGGTCGCAAGAGTGTGAACGGGCCTTAAGAAATCGAATTTTGTGGTCGATCTAAAGAGCCTGACTGCTGGGCAGTTGATTCAATTTTAGTGTAGGATGTATACTGTGCCAACACAAAGCTAGAAACGTGCTCTGCCGAAAACTCAGTGCCTGCAAGGTCGCTTCCTCATACAAAGTTTGGATCCAGTTCAGCGCACGTGACTGCTTCTCCACCAATACGGAGTTGGCGGTGAAAGAAAAAAGAATGCGATACTCCGCAGTGTCTGTGTCCTGTGTGGCCCCTCTAATGGGTCACAAAAGGGACCTTCGGCGTGCGATGACACTCACCGACGGGCCTGACGGAGCGCAGGGCGTCGAGCCAGGACTGTCGCCGCTGCAGGTTGGCGGGAATCTCGTGGAAGAGCACGTCGTGGGTCACACCCGCCCTCGAGTCGCATTTGGGCACCGCGCACAGAATGCCGAACCTGGAGGGAAAGAAATGCGGGCTCAAGCCACCTGGGAGACGAGGCTTTTTATGCCATATGTATCTGGTTAATGGGAGGAGCCGGCAGGATCCTGGGTGGAACGGTGAAAGCGCCGCCGTTGGTAGCATTGCATGTTCCCCCTGCGACCAACTTGTGAAGCAAGAATGAGCTGGGATGACCTTGAAGGATTTGCATAGTATCTTGTTTTTGGGCGATGCGAAAAGTATATGAATGTATAAATTTAAGAGATTGGTGAGAAAGGGGAGTTTCGAGGTGCTGAGTGCGTTTACTGAGGCAGGAAAGGGGATATTGCTTGAGAAAGATTTCCCGAAACACGAGGCACAACTGCAAAAGTGGGGTGTGCACTCACGGTTTGGATCAAAGCTCTCACGAAGCCGAGTTTACACTTTTTACTGTTTACTCCGTCGTGGCCGCTCAATCAAAGGAAAGATTGAGTGCATTCTGAACATTGCCGCGACGGCGTCACGTGCGTTGCCCCTTCAGTTACGAAGAGTCGTAAATTTCAACTCTAGCGTGTTGAAATAAAATACTTGAATACATCCTTACCTAGAAATTGTGATTTGCTGAGTTCCTTACCTCCGCTAGGGGAATATCTGTCGCTAGTGGTTGGTCAAAAGAGCTGTCAATCATCGCACTGAAGGTCACTGAAACAATTTTGGCCAGTGACGCGCCTTTATTTTCACCCTATTGCCAATGAATGACCAAACTCTCCACATATACGGCTCTGGTCATCGCATCTACTTAGCGCCACGTAGCTGATGTCGCCACCGGCACAACTCTCAACGTCTCACGACAAGCAATACGCTAGCACACAGAGAAATGCGCAAGCACAAACTCCGTTCAAAGCACCAAGCTAACGCTGCAGATCCTACAGGGACCCTGCGTTCAATCGCCCACCTGCAACGCACCGGCGTGTGGTCGTGTATCACTACTGCACGATGCACGTTAAAGACGTGGAGCTAACGCTTTTACTGCACTGGCTAAATTTATAATCTACAACCGGTGACAATGTCGCCGTATGCAACTGGTCCAAGAAAGGAATGACTAATTTTGAACGCGCCGTGACATTACATTTTTAATGTGTGTTTGTGCATATTTTTTTTCTTTTTCATTTCTTTTGTTTACATTTTTAAGAATGCGGCTCTTATGATGAAACAAAGTATAGTTCTCTGACTTCTGAAAAAATATTATAAAACAAAAAAAAAATGGCATGTCAATGCAAGGCAAAGAACAAAACAAAAAACAAGCAGGCACATATAATAAAAAAAAAAGGGAAATAGAATTTATTACAATTGCCTTTTAAATGCGATAGCAGTTCACACCTACATCAATTTAGGTTTGAGCATACCAAGAGCTACAAAAGCGAGCTCCATGCTTTGGACGGCTCTATTGAGCATGTGCGCTTGTTCGCTAGAAGAGTAGTTCAGGGCAGCATGCTCGTGCTTGTAGGTTCCACTTCGCTCGAACTTACAGTAAAACCAAATACTTTACTGGTAAAATATTTGGTAAAACAAAGCTTACCTCTTGCATTTGTGCAATGCCCTCAGTTTTCACGTGACTACATACTTGTTTATCATTATTGTTTTTGTTTCCCACTGCGATTCAGCACATGCTCTTTTGTGCGCGACATGCATTACAAACAAAGGTAACCTAGGAGCAATCTGTTTCGCACATCGCAAAGGAACCTATGCTACTTGTCAGATGTGCCAAAATCAAGAAAGAATATTCTTAACTTCACACGTGGTCGCTCGCGTGGGTAAACAATGTTGCTTGTCAAGAACAACTTCAATTGTATGAAATCATGTGGAAAAGCTCACTGTCAGCAAGTGCCCCCTTGGCACAGTGAATACCATATTTACTCGCATAATGAATACACTTTTTTCCCCGGAAAATTGACACATATTTGGGGTGGGGGGGGGGCCTTCATTACACGGGGCGTTCATTACACACCTCGTGCAAATGTCATATTAGGTGCCAATATGACACGGCAAGGTACTGTGGCACGTCTCCAGTGATGGAAGCACACTTACGGCTGGTCGGGGGCGCGCCACAATAACCATGCTTTATAAATTGCAAACCTTTCTAGGGCATTTTAGGGGTGCCTTTTGCCCAAAAAAAAGCACCCTATGAAGCTCACTCAGCACGAAAAGCAGCACGAAAAGCAGCACGACCGTTCTTAGGCGATATATAATGCTAGGAAGCCCGCTCGCGCGGATCAAGTTTCGTTCACTGAGACGCTACCAGACACTCTCAGCCTACAGTGCAGCGTGCACGTCGTTGTGCCGTTCTGTTGCGGATTAAATAAACACATTTACCCGGAGTATGTGAAATTAGGCCTAGCCACTTTCACGATTTCACTGTCTAAAAGCGGACCACAGACGACGGCTTGTTTGTTGACATCAATGCATCTGATAGGCGAAGAATGTCCCGGGCTCGGCAATTCCTTGACCCAAGCTTCGTCAAGTGTGCGCGACACTAGGTTTCACGGTCGATCACTTCCGTAACTACTGCAACTACGCACTCGCGGCCATTACGAGAGTGGCTTGGCTTGACTTGGCCCGACCGTTTGGCAGCAAAAAAAAAAACTGGCTTGGTGGCTTGCTAAATTGGACGCAATTCGAGACTTGCGGATCCGAAAAGGAGGTGCGTTGATTACAGGAGGGAAAAAGAAAAGTCAAAATATTGATGCCCGTTGTGAGGGGTGCGTCTATTATGCGAGTAAATACGGTATACTCATAATTGGCGCCGAGATGATTGGTACTTGTCAGCAGGTGGAGTTTTTCTATCAACTCAGAGTTAGATTATTTCATTCTTTCTGTTGTAAGCAATCAGGAGATAACTCACACCAAATCTGAGGGTAATAAAGTACCATGAACATTCAAGCATTACGGCCAGAGCGGTATTTGTGTACAAGCTGTAGCTTTCTATGCACCCTTAACTTTCCATATGCTCAACACTAGTGTAAAATGTAGCGCAGTTTCAGTCTTAACCAGCGTGCGGTGTGCATACTTACACCACATTTTATGAAATGTCACACTCCAGCATTTGCATATTTTTAATTTTGCACCTTACTGCTTGCACAAATCACCCATTAAGACTGCTAGAACGCTTAAACTTTGTGCAAAAGCTATCCGCAGACCCAGAATCTTTGCCTTGACAGTCACTGCATTTATCACTGAACTCATATTAAAATTAATTTTTATCATTGAATGCTACAAGCGAATTTTTAGCCTTGGTGTTACTTTATCGACAGTAAGACTCTCACATCACTGTCCTACTTCAGGTTTACCAAACTCAATATCTACACCCGAGTGTCTTTTTTGTGTTTTCGAGTCTCATGGTTTTGGTCAAAATAGACACCCAGTTACCTAAATGAGACACCTGATAAAAAAAGAAAAAGTTTATTTGTTTTAATTTTTTAGGTAAAGTCGCCGACCAATCTTTCGGAATTGGGGGGGGACCCCAAACTTGTCCGAATAATCAAGTGGTTTGAAAAATTGATTTCAGCCAAATTATCAAATTTCCGTGCATATTCCGCTGCGTATTGGCCACTTTCCACTTGCTTGATGTCAATTTTAAGTTCTCGTGCAACTTCCGCTTTATATTGTTCACTTTGCACTTGTTTGTTTATCTGTTTGATCAGGGTGCTGCGCTTGGTCGGCACCTTCGTTGGCACAAACAGCGAAGTTAAAGGGGCCCTCCAACAGTATTTGAGCGTCGACTTTTTTTTGCAATTTCTACACGCTAGTGGTCCCGGAAACCCAGTGGACAAGGAAAGAGTTTGAAAATATTAGCGCATCATATTTTAATTTGACAACTCGGAAACACCTCCTCCGACGGTGGCGCCGCGAGGTGCCGAATGCGCGCGCATAACGGCGCTCCCTTTCACTATACGTCACATTCTTTGGGTTTCGTGATTGGCGAGAGCCGTCCCAGGAATTTTGAAGCGAAATAAAGTATATCACATTTTAACCGTCATCATTTCTCTACCAAGTCATTTTTATAGAGCTAATAAAGTTGCAAAGTAAAGTTCAAAAAGGGCGAAAACAACGCCTTGTCGCTCATGCGCGCCTCCCAGCGGCGTCCGCGACGTACCATCGCGAGCAGACGACAAGTGATCCGTGCACACAAGGCGCATCGTATTTTCACTTGTGCGCCCCCGGTCCTGGTCAACTAAAAGCAGTAAGAGGAGCCAGGGGAATCCTTATTTTCTTTTAGTGCTGTGACAGACTTTTCACTGTTCGAGTGAAGTGCTGCGACGGGACCGGTGCCCAACGGGACCGCTCACCAGTTTCTCCCTCCTACTCGCCGAGGTAGCTCCGGTGGCGGAGTTGCGGGAGACGAGTGTTCCGCGGCTGTCGAAGCGGACTGAGGCAGAGACACGGCACTTGCGTGGAGTGTCCTCGTACAGCGCGGCGCCCAGATCCGCACTAAAAATCTGATAAGCCCGGTAAATTCATCAATGATGGCAACCCAATCCCAAAGCTACGATGGTTGCAGCTAGGCCTAATGGCCGCCGAGCCGACCGGGCCGACGGGCTATCAACCAAACTCGCGTCCAATTGGCCAACCGCTTTGCTCCAATCGCTAAACTGTTTCATTTTACGTCATGAAGCGCTATGTTTTGCTTATTTAAAGTTATTTTCTGCAATATTTAATTTGCTAATAACTCACAAAATATTGTGAATTTGTGTAATATTTTTTTTCCTCGATGTTCCTGCTTTCATAGAGCTTCGTTTCAGCGCGAACTTCAAACCGGTCAAAAAATTGTTGGTGGGCCCCTTTAAAGTTGGTACCATTTGGCACAATTTGGAGTCAACGTTTAGTTCACCAAGCTTGCTTCAATACTAAGCCTACTGGCAAAAAAACCTTTGAGCTCAAAGACCCCAAGAACGGCAAACGGTCGCTCTTGTCGTGGTCACACCCAAAAAATACGGACCTTAGGAACAACTGGAAGAACCATAGGAATTTTGCAGACGGCGGCTGCTATGACTGTTAAAGTGCATATGTAGAAACTGGGGTGTACCGCCATCTACCGTTGTGACAGTCAACGACAAAACCCAGCGCGTTGCGAAGACAGCGCGAGTAAGCACACAAGGCCCGAGCATCGCGAGATGAACAGATGACACCGCCATGGCAGCTGGGCTACCGAACTCATGTTGTTCTAGTCCGTTCCCTACTAGAAATGCTTATTAAACTACTTGCAACATTAATGACGAGAACCAGAGCCCATCGGATGACAGATGGCACTTCGACAGCAGGCGAGAACAATCAGAGCAACGCTACGGCCATGGCCACGCCTGAGTTCAGCAGCATTCCCACGTTCGAACGCAGCTCCAGCTCTTGAAAGTCATGGTACGGCCGGTTACAATTTTTTTTCGAGGTTAACGATGTACAGGATGCCTCGAAGGAGCGTGCGTACCTGCTAATGCTGTGCGGGGCGAAGACATACGATAGAGTCTGCGCTCTCCTACAACCCAAACAGCCAAGCCAAGTGAGCTTCGACGAGATTGTTCAACTGCTGAAAGCACATTTTGACCCGACGCCTTCCGAAGTCTACTGCAGATACTGTTTCCAAGGTCGCGACCAGGAGGTCGGCAAGACGGTCAGCGCTTATGCGACAGCCCTGAAGAAACTCGCTGCCGACTGTAATTTCGGCACCAGTGCCGAACAAGTGACAAATTGAACGTTTCTTCCTCTGGATGTAATGTTGCGGGATCATTTCGTGTGCAGCCTCCGGAGCACGCAAGTCCAGCAACGTCTCTTTGCGGAGAAGGAACTGACGTTCATCAAGGCCTATGACTTTGCAATACGCGCCGAGAGCGCTGTTCAGCAGCAACAAAAGATGAAAAGCGATCACTCAGAAGTCAACGGTAGCAACAAAAAAGCTACCCAAAAAACGACAGCTGCGAGCGGGAGATAAAGTCATGATCCAACAAATCCGCAAAATAACCTGACTGGGTTCCAGGTGTGTTGATGAAACGAACAGGACTCCGTTCGTGGCATGTTCATTGTGGGTTAGGAATCGTCTGCCGACACTGGAACCAGATAAGAAAACAATGCTGCGAAGGAAATACAAATGACCGGGCGTCGGCGACACTAACGTGGGGTATAGGCGTCGAAGAAACTGACCGGTCCAACATCTCTACACCAAGTACGTCAAGTACAACGACAAAACAACCAGACACACCCCTCTCAGCGGAGATCTAAGAGGGAAAGACAATCACCTCAGAGGTACCAGACACAAGTCTAAGAGGGGAGAGATGTTATGTCCGCTAAAGTTCATATGTACAGACTGGAGTGTACTGCCATCTACCGTTGTGACAGTCAACGACAAAACCCTGCGCATTGCGAAGACAGCGCGAGCAAGCACACGAGGGCCGAGCATCGCGAGACGAACAGACGACACCGCCATGGCAGCTGGGCTACCAAACTCATCTTTTTCGATTCCGTTCCCTACTAGAAGTGCTTATTAAACTACTTGTAACAGCGGCCATGTTGACTATAGCAGAACCGGGCCGGCTATAGCCTCAACCCAGCTTGTTTATTTCGTAGGACGTGGTATCGAGGCTACAGGGCAGAATCAAAACAACCAAATAGGCGGTGACTAAGCTCGCGGCGCTATTGCAGCGGTTGTTTTGTGGCTGTGAACTGAGGAAATCACGCAAATTATGTTAGAAATATCGAACAATAAGCTTTATGGCATCTGAAATTTCGGTCAATGCTATACATTAACTTTATGGGGCGAGTGACGGTTCGGCGAAAACGTCAGAATAATCTAACATGTCCGAAAAATCGATCGGCGACTGTATCTAAATTCCTCAAGCTAGAATTTTGGAAACCCACGTCTATCGCGTCATCATGTTTCCCTGGAAATTTGTAAAGAGCCAAACACATGCGCAACAAAAGGGAGGCCCGTCATAGAAATCTGATCCTATTGTAATATGTGGAATTGGCCTCCGAAATCCCCGACGTGCTAATTGCACACAGGCAATTTTATATTTTTCAATGCTTCGGTCGTTTTGGTGTGCAGGTGTCTCGCCATTAGCTCAGGACGATTTGCATGTTTTGCTCTGACCACATTCGCTGGAGACGTCATCTCGGAGCGTAGGGAACTGGCCCCCTTGCACGAGAACAGGCGCAGCCATGCGCAGAGAAACACAAGTGAAGGACCAGGGATGTCACTTTCAGGATATAGAAAAATACTACAATGTATCGAAGGGCCACCAGACACGATTTCTGGCATTGATGTACAGGTCTGGAAGGCGATCCCATCGCCACCTCTCGCTTCAGAATCACACTAAATAAGGGTGGGGTTACACCTTAAAGGCAAAGCTTACCCCCCCCCCCAAAAATTTTTAAACTTTTTCCAGGCAATTTATAATGGTGTCAGAAGACTACCCAATCAATATTTTGCTACAGCGTTCCATATATTTTTAATAAACTAAAAAAATGCAACTGCTCGAAACCGAAACCGGACTGGGGAGGAAGGAGAAATATAAAGGAGGAGAGCGTTGCCAAACTTCATGGTGCTGTGTAACTTACTTTTTTTTCAATCAACGTATTTGCAGCCTTCTAGAGGCCATAAAAAATGGGCATCATATTTCTTTTCTATTTTTAATATTCAGCGTGTGCCTTCAATGACCCATGACTTGGTGGTTGTGTCTAAACCATAGAAAATGGCAGGTGGCCACGGAGAAGAGAGTAAGCGCGACTCAAAACGACCGATTCTCGATCAGTGGTTTTCGGGCAAAAAGGAAACGAATTTCGAGCCACAAATTGTATTTAGAATAGTTAGGCTCTCATGTGTCATGTACAAATAAAAACCTTGGCGAGCATAAATACCCTGTCAGTGTCCCTTTAAACGTCCCCCAAGTTTTTTTGTTTATAATGAGAACAGTTTTTTTTAAATTTATATGTTTTGTGAACACATTCTAAACTCATCACCCGTGGCGTTAGTAGTTTGAAAAACATTTGGATCGATTCTGTTATTTTTAGGCTGGGAATAATGGTGAAGCAATTAATAACCTAAATGCTTAAAACCCCATTAAAGGGTCTGCAGTTCACTATTTTGCATGAGACTCATCTGAGTGAGAAAAAGCAGCAAGAACAAACAAATAGTACATGAGAGCAGATGTTTTCAACAAATACAATATTCCGTGTCACCTCTAAGGCGTATGAAGGACTCTGTCTTTAAAGGAACACTGAACTCTCAAAAATGTTTTGAAGTGCCTGGATCGGACATGTATGTCACAAAATAAAGTTTCCGCAAACATTTTCTTTAGCTCAAAAATTATGCCGCGAGACACATCTTGAGTTAGGGAAGAAACCGAAATTAGCGCTTATATCGAGAAAGCAAATCCAAAATAGAAGTTAGTTTTGGTCTCATTCCTGAACTGAAACCTGTCTCCTGGCATAAGTATTACGCTAGACGCCGTTTTAACTCTCAGGAATAAAGAGGTGACCTGCGCGCATAACACCCCAGCTTTCTCGTATAAGCAGGGATAATTTGTGTCACACAGTGAAGCCAGCACAATAGACAGGCTCGGCAAATGGTATAAAGGCACACATCTCCTACCCTCACTATAACTGCCATTTTGGAAAAATGAGTGGTGCAACCTATGGACAGTTGTAGTTGCAAACTGGATCAGAATCACTGAATTAGAAACTATTTCTCTTCTTAACCCACCAATTTTTATAAACCTTTCTCCCGTCAGAGACTCAATTCTAGGATTTCTTGGTAGGAAATTTGTAGAAACAAGGGCACCGTTAAAAGTATAGAACAAATAATAACGATTACGGGTAATTTTAGTACTTTCCAAAGTAACCAGATTAGGTGCTTTCGAAAATACTTCCTAAAAATGTAATCAAATGATTATAAAATTTCCCCAAAAAGGAATCGATCGTAAGTAGTTTGATTACATCTAATCAGCATCGCACGAGTCTGCCAACGCGAAGCAATTTCAGACGCACGGACGTTCGACTCACCTGGCCTTGCGAGCCGACACGGGGGAGATTTCCGGGGGGGGCGTTTCCGGGGCACGCTTGGGTCCGTCCTTTTTGGCCGCTGGACGCGGGAAGGCCGGGCGGTCAGAGAACACGGTGGGCACGGCATCGGGCTTGAGCCTCCGCAGCTTCAGGCCCTCCCGGTAGTCCTCTGGCTTGAAGTGGAGGCTGCACACCTTGCTCCGGTCATTGGGAGCCCACGGTTCCGGGCCTGGAGATACGTGGGGGCGGCCCATTCAAGCACTTCCCTTTCGTTACGATCCGCCCATACAAGGGCGCTTTTCAAGCCTCTCGCGACGGCTTACGACCGGCAGCGCAGCGATGCGGCAGGTCGAAAGCCGTCGCGAGAGGCCTAAAAACTGGTCTTGTCCGAGTTGGCCGTAGTCAAGCGCGAGTGTGCGAAATCTCCCAGGGTGGCTCCGATACTCCACCTCGTTTCAAGTCCGATAGCAGCCAACACTACCATCCAACAAAGCCAACTGAGCAATGCCAAAAGTGCATCGTCACGGCGTCGTTTGCAGCTAGAACACACTTAACCAATCACGCATAGTAAATGCGCCGCGATCCTGCACATTTTTTTTGTCTCCGTAACAATTTGCCGCAACACTGTATACTTGCAAAAAAGCTGCCTTAATACACCGGCATCCAGTGGGACTGTCCGTGGCTCAATTAGGCCGAACGGAATATCCGGCGCTTTATTTCCTCTCTACAGTGTCCCCATTGAGACCAAACCTGCGGTATTTCTTGCCCTACGCCACGTTTCACTACGAGACAGGCAGATGTTTAAATGTACGGCTAGGGGAACACTACCAAAAAGTGAACGGGGTTCGGGACGGACATCTGTCGTGTCACTGCCATGACTGCGGGTGCAAACCATTATTTGCTTCGTCTACTGTTCTTGCTAGGCACAAAGATAGGATTGTTAGAGAGATTATGGAAGCTGACGCTATAAATAGTTCCGGCACGTGTTGTGTCAGTGTCGCGTCAATTGACTTGGCGGATAAGGAGTTGGCGTACTTGCGGTCCGTGGCAGGGCCACGGATTGGTTGAGATGTGGTGCGGTGACGCAGTGTGTTTCTACGCTGAGGTTCTTGAATTAAATCAGTTGAAAGTTAGCGCTCGGTGGTGTCTGTCCTTCCTATGTCCCCGTCTTCAAAGCGTAATCATGTTTTCTAGCATTTGTTTATGCAGAGGGACCAGAGCAAGAAGTGTGATCGTGTATCGGATTCAGCAGTCTTTTTTTTCCGTCTGCGCATTGTTTAGTTTCTGCTCCAGAGTGATCTGGTGTTTGTGTGTTGGTGCTTCTGCTTAGTGCCTTGTTTGGATTGTGGGCTGCCGAGGAGCTCGCTCGCACGGAAGAAAAAGGAACTACCAGACAAGTAGGTGCCGTGCTGCTGCTTATCTGCTTAGTCGCCAAGTGGTAAACGGAAGGACCTGAGCAGTGAGGATGAGCGCAGTCAAAACATAAACTGATATTTCTTCTATTTTCATTGACTTTTCACATCTGCTATGCCCCCGAGTGCGAGAAATTGACGCGGCCCGGTTCGCTTTATAATGGTAATAATATTTTTTTTTCTTTTTGAGGGCATCAAAACCTGCCCTCGCGTTATATTCGTGGTCGCGTTATATTCGTGCGAATGCGGTACTTCCGTATAAAAAATAAATGTTTAGTTTTATTCTTTAATTTTAGTTCTGAATTTCGTCTTGCGCGCAAGCACGAACTGTAACGGCCCATCCTTTTAGTTCCGGGCCTGAATGGCAATGGAACTTTTTTTCTATAAAACAAAATTTAAACCAGGGCAAAAAAGATTTTGTTCCGACACAGTGTGCAGCGCCGGTTTTGTAGCCCTAAATCTGCTTTCTTTCAGCAATAATATTTAGCAATGACCAGCAGCATGGTGCGATCGTCTTTGTTGACACTTTCACTTCACGAGCACGCGGGCATAGCAGGCCCGCTCAAAGCATTGAGTAAGCCAGTGAAGAAGCTACACTTCAGTGAAACGAGACTTCAGCCATGTTCAAGCTCTAAATTTCTGTTGCCAGTGTTCCGAAAAGCCAGAAAATGCTTTTCCGTCCTCTAGAAATGTAAAAACAGTCCGCGACATATAAAAACGATATCGCCTAAGGTATGATCCCGACCAAGTTTATATCTAAAGTTCTGAAAGACGCAGTTTCGAATTGTAACTGTCGCCGAAGGTGCCTGCTCTGCACTAAGCACCAAAATGACAATGCTTGCGAGAAAATCTTAAAAAAAAAAAAAAAATTGTGCCGATACATTAAAGGACACATGCAAAGCGAAGAAACATTTTTTTAAACAGCTTAGATGAAAAAAGGATGTCATAAAACAATTTTACAACAAAGAAAAAAAAATTTTAGAGCTATATTTACGGCGCTATACGAATTTGTAATTGGTGCCGCGGGAGCCGCTGCTGGTCACGTGGTAGGCCCGCGCGCCGCTGCCGCAAAGTAGTGCTGCCGCCGCATGCTGAGCGTTGTGTGAACGCCGCTTCGACGCGTTTCTCCATGTCGCACAAGTTCGTCTGCTTCGGGGTGCCGCCGCCGTCGTCTGACCGGCGCACAGGTCTATCACGTCTGCTTGCGCTTTTTCAGGAGTTTCCTTTGGGCTCTAAAAGTTACTTATTAATCTTAGTTTTTTTGTTATACTTCAAACAAAGATGAAGTTACTTTTAGACACCATACGAAGCTTCCGAAAGAGTGCAAGCATCACGTGATAAATAAGGGCCAGTCACGTGATAAATAAGGACCACTTTTCCGCGGCGCCGGCGGGTGCCAACTACAAATTCGTATAGTGCCGTAAATATAGCTCTAAAAATGTTTTTCCTTCGTTGTAATATTGTTTTATGACATCCTTTTTCCATCTAAGCTGTTTAAAAAAAATTTTTTTTTCCTTTGCATGTGCCCTTTAAGCATACAGCGCATCTATAGTGGCTCTATGAAAGAGTGTGCAGCAGTGCCCAGAACAGAAGAGACGTTCGATTTTCGCGAGATGAAAGGCTGTGTGCGCAATTTACCTGCGGCGAGGCAAGATATGTTGCGGATCCAGTCGTTGCGCACCTCCGTCACGGGAAACTCGTGGAAGGCGACCCTGCCCGGCGAGCGATGGCTCGACTTGCACAGTGGGACGCAGCAGCACCCCATCTCGCAGGCAGGCGCTGGGAATGAATCGCCTGAGGTTAGCCATGCAGTTTCGCCCGTCGAAACGAGCCGAAACATATTTTTGGGCGTTTACAAAGCCGCACTCACACTGCTAAATACATCGCACAAAAGACAGACTGCAAACGCCTGTCCGAGGCGCGTTTCTTGCATATTTTTTTGTTTTTTTACCCAATCCCCCAAATCATCCAGGTGATATTCCACGTCGCCTGGCGACGAAATTGCAGGGGGAAGCAAGTTGGTCTAGAAGGGCAATGCGAAGAAGCATACTTTTGGTTTTTAGTTTCCCGGCTAGATGGAGCAAGCTAGCACCCGTCATAAAGAGTACAGCCGTTAGCATCCATCCATCCATCCTTGTGGGACAGTCCTCTCACATTGGTCATAAGAAAGATTGAACAGTCCTGTGGGAATCCACGGTAGGGTCACGGCGATAACTGCGGCATGTCACGGCGAAGTCGTTGGGCACAGCATCGCGTTCACGCACCGTGGAATGCGTGAACATAAGCGTTTGAAACAAGATAAGACATCTGACCATTTTGTTCCAAACACTTTTTTTTGTTCATGATGAGCACAAAAGCGCGTTACCCGGCGCGAGCTCTTGGCATTGGCAGTGCTACGACAACATTTTGTTATCGGCTATATTTGTTTCCCAGAGAGCACGTGGGCATCGGGTACTACAAAGAAATCTATGAATGAACCGACTGGCAGGTGCACAAGTCACCGACTCCGGGAACATTGCTCTCATAGTCACGCAAGCCCGTAAACCTGCCCACAAACCGGAAATTCTATGGCCTATAAGTAAGCTATACGCTTAGAGAATCGGACTGAATAGACCTTTTTAGAAAGTGTGCGCCATAGGCCACCTGCCGTCATTTGGCCACGTGCTGCGAGCATGCACTGGACACGAGGGTAGTGTCGGCACTCGGCTTGCATCGAAAACGAGTGCTGCATTGGGCATCGCACACTTCGTGTCCAAGAAATGTCGACCGCCAACGTTGCTCGATAAACTTTTGAAATATTGGCAACAGTTAATTACGATGCGGGGAGGCAACTTCCCGAGCCTTGGATGCGGCATTAAGAAGCTGGGACGTTGTCGCGGACTGTTCTAGTATTTCCCAGGGACGGAAAGGACTTCCCTGCGATTTCAGATACATAACGCATCGGGTCAGCAATAATTATAAGCAACAAGGTAACTCAGATGTCCTTACTCCGAGGCCTGGATTATTTAGCAGCTCTGGTTGAGACACAAAAATGCCTTCAAGAACTAACAACCGAGCACACAGTTGTACGACTCCATGCAAAGAGTGAGGGACAAGGTTGTCGTTGAGAATACACACTCGCATTTTCCAGACGCGCGCGAGAGAGCGAGCAAAACCAAGACGGCATCTTGATAGCTCAGTTCCATCCAACGTTCGAGCAAATACATTCTAAGAAACTACATCTTACTCCGCGAAAATCCAACGGCCCTGGCGTCGGCAGCTTTTGCGTGATTGGAGAGGCCGGAAGCACGCACATCCTCGGAGTTTTCCTTTATTTGAATCAAGTGAAATGGCTGCCGGCATCTATCGGCGCGGAAACAAGTCGAGACACGAAAGATGGTCGTCTCTGCTGTCTCGGCGAATCCGATATTCGGTGCGTCGGCCCTCTCTCTTGGCGCAGCGCGAAAGCGTGGACGGCACGATGCGCATGCATTCTCTGGCACGTGGGATTCCCAAATGGGAAATTCCATATCGGCACATGTTCTAAGGTATTTGGGTGATGCACATGTTCCCTCGATGTTGGAGAATCTTATGACCGAGTCCTGGTTTTTCGACACAACCACACATAGACAGCGATTGGTTTTTTTTCTTGCAGGCGCCGAAAATTCACACACAAAACACCGTACCTGTGGGTAAAAATAAAAGAAACCCAAAACACCTTCCAATTTGAAGAAGAAACAAACCCCGAAAACACAAAACCCTAGACATACCCTACAGCACAGGCAGCACCATCATTGCATTCATTCATGTATGATATATACAGGGTGTTTTTTTTACGTTTTACAGATGTTTTTAGGGGGGGGACACTGGATCGGAATGAAATTTGCAGGGGAGATTTAACGTCAAATGTAGGTGAACTGTGCAAACTTTCAGCTCTCTGGGACAACTTTACATACCTGCAAAAGAAGATGTGTCACTCTTTGTTAAGAGATCTATGATATGCAAATGAAGCCATTAAGCACCATTTTGAATGCTTAAATATAAAGTGGGGGATCTGGGACTTCGGGCTATCTAGTTTTTTTTCAACTCAAATGTAAATATTTCAGGAAGAGTTATTACCCCAAAATATGAGGTGCAAATCTGTCCTTCGCCAAGTTTTGAAAACTAGGTTTTTTAGCACTGAAGACTTCAACTTAAAACAAAATAAAGTAGATAGCCCGATTCCCCAGTAAATTTCAGTTAAGAAACATCTTGATCATGGTATCAGAATACTTTTACCTTCAAACAAAAATTCCTTCGTGTGAAATTTGCAGCAAAAGGTGGAACTGACAAAAATGCATTCAAACATTGAATCCCTTTACTTTGTAACTGCCTCACAATGTGTTGAAAATATTTTATATCAACACAACTACTTGACGTATGGTTATCAAATTTCGTGTAAGGGTAGTTTCCAAAGTCAAAAACCTTAAAATTGAAAAATGAATTTTTTTTCAAAAAAATGTAAAATTTAGATTTAAAAAGCCCTGAAAAAAAAATATCTTTTTTTTAACAGTCTCATTAAGACATGCTGGTCAAAAAATTAATTTTATGTGAAAAAACTTTTTTTAGAGCGATAGTGATGGTGCAAGATGCGATTTAGTCGGTAGCCACCTCCTTTCCACTTGCTTTCTCTCTCGGCATTCCGGGCGCGTGGAGGAGAGGTGCGTTCATTTCGCCTTCACGACCGAGATGGTCATCCCAGAATGACCCGTGACGTCATGGACTATGCATACAGAATTTCGGATAAACCTCTCGCCGTTAATATTGCTCTAAAAATAATTTCTTTTTTTTTTTTTTTGCATAAAATTTATTTTTGACGCGCACGTCCCAACCACACTGTTTAAAATTTTTGTTTTTTTTTTCTTTTCAGAGACATCTTTTTTTCAATATTTGGCCTAGGATAATGAAACTTTCTAATTCTGAAGTTTTGCCTTTTCTTGTAACACAATTATTAGTTTTAATTTATCTTTTTACACAGAAAGGGTTTTTGGCGTAAACACATCATAAAGCCTTCCTTATAGAAGCCCTTTTGAAGTTAGTTAAAATTTACAAAGCCTAAAGATATGGCAATCTCAAGAAGGTTTTGGCAGTCTATGCATCCTGAAAACATAATCTTTTTTTTTTTTTTTTTCATTATGACTGGGGGATTTTATGCACTGAAAACTGAGTGCACAAACTGTCAAGACATCACGAAGTTGTAAAACCGGAAAAAAGCAACTGAAAGTTAAAAAGATGTATGCTTTTGAAATGTTGGTTGCAATAACATAAGATATGGCAAGAACACAAGTAGGGTGTTCAGGAAACATTCAAAGTTGATACAACCGTCCCACACTGTATGCCCTGACTTTTCTGGCCCCTCTTGCACCATGTGCCATCAAACATCAGTTACACTGGCTGTTCTTTCAACATCAGCATTTCAGTCCTTTTGAGGTTTTTGGTCGGCAGTTTTCACGGCAGCGGCCTGAACTTTCTCGCTAGTGAAGGTCTCGTGATGCATTGGTGCTAGCAGGTTTTCAAGCTGGCAAAAGACTCGTGAGAGCTACCGATGTCGTAGCTTTGCCTACTGCTTGTACGTCTCAATGTGATGCTGCACGTTCCAACTAAAGCGTCGAAAGAAAAAACCCACTCGGGGCATTTGTTCTTCTCAGTGTAGTGTGAGGAACAATGAAAATCTCTCGCGTTTCCCTGCCGGCTCCCGGACGCGTAGAGATTGCGCTCGTGGCAAACAGGGCAGATCGCACTGCTCACAAGTATCGTCATTGCGCCAATGTTGCCATCACTGAACTCGAAAAGCCATAGCCACGTGTTTTGTATTTGTTTTCGAAGGACGCAATCGTCTTTTTTGCATAGCGCTAACAAACATGAATGAAGCATCGATTGCATCAAGACAGTCGCCGGTACTGTGGTTAGGATTAGTAGGTCGCGGTAAACTTTCCTCTGCTGACGTTCTTTGCTTGCGGTTGTGCCACTCTTGAAACTTGCACTTGCTTCTGCAGTTCCAAAAGCGAAAATCGCGCGTTTTAGTCTAGTCTATCGCAAATCGAATCAAAGAAATATAGAATGTGCTGTTGTCGTGAGCGACAGTCTCTCAAAGATGGCCGATATTCGCAAAAAAACTTGCGATTTTTGTAGTCACTACGAGTCAGTCAAACATGATTATTTCCTAACTTCTCGTCCGAATATTGTTTTGATATTTTTACTCACAAAAGTGAGATGTCCGTAGATGAGAAAGCTAGCAAAAACAAAAAAAATTGCCAATTTGAAGAATAAACTTGATTTTTTTGATCCCCATCTCCCCTTAGAAAGTCGTGACAGCTACGCTAAAGCGGTCTGTGCAGGTGACTTGTACAGTCACGAGGACGTAATATAGGGAGATAATTATCGCCATAAGTTCAATAACTAACTGCAATATGTTAACAAACTCTTAATTAGTAAAAATAAACATATGGTTCTAATTAGAAATTTGTTGAGTGTCATAGAAACCTCTAAGCCAGAAATATTTCTAAAAACTGAACGCATGGGAAGCGCGGTAGTGCCCTAAAGCTACCACTCGCGTAACAGGCAGAAGGCTGGCAGTGTGAAAACGCGGATGATAAGACACGAAAAATCCACAAGGGTGCGTTATCGCACAGTAGCCTTGCTCCTGCTGAAGTAGTAGTAACTTTAGCACTCCACCATGCTCCAAGTCTATCTAAAATTGTCTACTTTGGTGGTTTTCAATGACACTCAACAAGCATTTTACTTTGAGCCATATGTTTATTTTCACTAATTAAAAAGTTAATCAACATATTTTAGTCAATTAGGCGACTTATCATGACGATTAGCCTGCACAAACTGCATTGGTGCAGTTTTCATGGATTTTCATAAACAAATTCATAAAGCAGAAAAACTTTTTGTACCTCCATTTATCTAGTCCATTCGACCTGGCAGGTAGCCCCTTAAAGGTCCCGGCGGCTAGGGGCAGGTGAGGACATTTTGGCCAGTGGCCCCAGCTTAAACCCCCCCCAATCCCCTGAAGACGCTGCCTGGCAAGGCCCTCGAGGAACCAGGTTGGCCAATGATGCCGCCCAATGCTGCAACGCCCAACATTGGACCAACATCTCCTGGATAGGAAGGCAGTCTCTGCCATCACCTCCGATGCCAGAGTCCCATACGAGCAACAAACAGAAAGAACCGACACCCACAAGCCTCGGGAAAGCTATCTCTAAACCTTTCCGGCGCACCCGGGTGAAAAATGCAGAGTCATTGGGCTGAAGACGCATGCATGGCGTCTCAGATTTCCTGAAAGGGAGCTACTGCGCATGCTCAGAGCGCCTTCCATAGCCCACTAGACAAAGACAGTAGACCGCAGAAGGTGATTATTGGAACTGGAAAGGGGGAAACAAGCGACAAGCGAGCATTACTTGCCCTCTGACCAAAACAAACTCTTTTGGCAGTCCGAGCGATCTGCTTGGCGCGTTCACTATCTTGGTGAGGTGACCAGTGGATGGATCCATGGCATAAACAAAAACGTGTCATGCCCCAAGAGATGTTGCGCACAGAGAAGGCTTAGGTCGCTTGCTGACCCGTCACCGACGCAGGGAGTCGTTGATACTTCCTGTGTCGACGACTCCGCAGGGGTCGTTCGTCTAGCGTTCTACACCTCACCTACGCGTGTGAGCTTAAAGTCACCGACGGCATAAAAAACGCTTGGTTGCATGCTCACGGTTTTCTGTTCCCGATTGGCCCCCTCCTCGCTGACTGCGAGGACGTTCGCGAATTGACCCCCCCCGTGCGTTTCTTGGCACGTCGGTGACTGTCTGCATTTGCACTACTGCCAGTCCCACGCCGGCTCTCGTGGTCTGAACGCACAACGTTTGGCGAACGGCACTGAGAAGTCAATCGTCGCAACGTTGGGGATGTGCGGGCCAAGAAAAGCGCAACGAGCTCCTTCCTAAAGCCTTTCCTGGTCTTTCCACTTTACCAGAGCAAGCGGAAGCAGAAGAGGAGGCAAGTCTGGAGAATTGTGTGTCCCCTACGCGTCTATACGTTTCCCACCTGTACATAAGCGTCATCATTATCACGTTTCACCGCTCGTTAATGCGCAGCCGAGGAGGAAGCTGGCACTCGTTTGTACGGGCTTTCAACTTTGGCTTCCTCAGGCTCTCGGGTGTGCAAACGTTAAGCCGATAAATTCTTCTTCAACCTCCGCTCCGGCATTTTCTCTGCTAAAATGGGAAGAGTGGAGAGTTTCACGGGAGAAGCATGTCCCACTTTTCTTGACCTGCCACGGGGTACTCGCGACGCAACATTTCGGTGGCGCCCTCTCGTAGTTCCTATCTCCAACGTCATGACCGAGGCTGTTAGTAGCGAGGACGAGTTTGTGGTGCGCAAAAACCGTGGTGGAAGCATAGTCATCCCGTTTCTAAATCTTGACACCGTCAGACTTTGAGAGTCTGCACTTCGCTTTTATTTCCGTCGACGAGTGCAAAAATAATCCCGCTCAAGACGCGGTAGTTTGGCCAATCGTGGAAGGCCGATTTCAGCGACGCTTCCGGTCGTTGATAGTATTGCAGTAGTATTAATTTTGGCTCGAGACGGACGCGACGCCGTAGAAAAAATGGCGGCCCGTGCCGAGAAAACCCGAGGCGCCTCGTAGAGACGTGAACTCTGATGCACAAATGGTGCCGACGAAGGTGATCAATGGAGCTTGCGATTGAAGATGAAATAATGCCATTGAAGACGCATCAACTATATGCACCATTCGACGGAGTGGACACCTGCCGACATCGGGGCCGTCGGGAAGGCTCGAAGCGAGCTAGGGCGACATCCATGCGTATGCCAGCTGCGCATACGTGGCAGATCTCAATCCCTAAGATGGACCGCAGACGGAGCCATCGAGGTCCGCGCAACACTCCCAGCCCGGTTGGGCAGAGCCCAAAGTCATGTGACAAGATGGAAAATAAGTGGTGAAAAGGCTGCCTTTCAGATTTCTACACCTTCCAAATAGACTACGCAGAGCCTCCAGATATTCGACTGCAAATATTCAAGTTGGAACACTCTTTCAAGCACCTCAATGCAGCGGTGCCGAGCGAAAGGAAGTCCATTGCTCTCCGCACCAATTCAAGCTTTTGACGTTCATTAGCTGTGTAGGTTCAGACTAATAAAATCGATAGACCTCACAATGGAGCTTTTTCGCACCTTACGGGTGCAGAAAAAAACACACGCTCGATGTATGAAATACGCCCTCGATGAAAATATAAGCTCGCCATGTGCAGGCGCTGATTTTGCAGGCTGGTCTAAGAGCCCCTCCATTCGAATACAGTCTTGTTAACATTACCTTGCAAAGATCCCGATGGGGTCTCCTCTTCGACGTTCTGCGGCGACCGACTTTCCCCTCGCTCGAGGTCGGCTGCAGTCGATTCAGTAGGCTCGTTTGCTGCCTCGTCGCCACCTGTGCTACTTGGCGGCGATGCGGCTGGAGCCTCCACCTGCCGTTCTGCACCCTCCGAACGTTTCTGGACCTTCCGCCCACCGACGCAGTCTTTGTGGACGTTGTCGCTGCAGCAAGTTTTCCTGACTCTTCCGCCGTTCCTTTTTTTCGCTCCGCAACTGTCCTCGAACACCGAGGGAACGACCCCTTTCACCAGGCGCCGGCGTTTTCCCTCTATGAAATCTGTCTCCTTGAAGTGCTTGCTGCACACTTTGCTGTAATTGGACGTGGTGTTTGGGACCCAGTTGTCTCGTCCTATCGCTCGTATCCAACTCTCCCTCAAGTCCCAATCCGCCGGAATTTCGTGGAAGGATAGTTCGGGAGCTGTTCGCTTTCCGTGAGAGCGGCAGTGGGGCACGCAGCAGTAAGCCATCCGGTCCTGAAAGAGCAAAAATGGCACTCTGGAGCCAGTGTGCCACGCGAAATATTCTATGCGGTCTATAATAGACCTCTCGCAAAATCTAAGCAATCCTAGTGGCATAGTGCTGTGCGAGGCATCTTGAGTACCCCCTGGCTGCAGCTCCGATTTCGATTTGCCAACGTCACTTCCCGACGTCCCGTCACGACCAAATACAGTGTTTGCATTTTCGAATATGTGACTTTCCTCAATTTTATAATACTCTAGGTATGCGTACCAACGAAGATAAAATGCTGGGGCACAATTTTTACAGCGATAGCTGTTAGCGGGACACTTCGCAGTTTTGCGCCGTCGATCGCGCTCCATATCGACGCAGGCAATTGTCGGAACTCCGCCAAAACATTTCACGGGCCGCTGATAACAAGATAACATGCATGGACGGTAAAACAGTCCCCGCCAGGCAATCTGGCAGTGCACTGGGATAGGTGCCCGTGTGACCCGAAAGTAGCGCAAACAACAAAGCTCGGGAAATACACGGCTGAAATTGACTTTGAAGTTTACGATGCATTCTGTATCAGAAAGCAAGGGAAAAGAAAGTGCATTAGTGCCTCATCAATGCACCTGACCAGAGCCTCCTCTACTTGTGGTTTCTGTGTGGTGGCACTCGTGATGCTGCTATGCAGTGAAAGTCATGCTCCGCTTTGCAGGAGGCAGAGTCATGTCAGTCAGAGCATTATAGAGCTTGAGGCACACGCAGAAAAATATAAATTCGTCCTCTCCAGTGGTGACTCAAATTTAACTTAGTATCTGCATTTTCAGTAATAAGAACTGGAACCGAGGAGGTAATACCCGAGAAAATACTAAATCCACAGACTTCGTTTCTTACGTCTATTAAAAATTGTGGGACCATTCAAAAGTTTTTGTGAATACTTCTTTGTACACTAGCTTTTATAATACCGTATTTACTCGCACAATGAAAGCACCCTCCAAGTCGGCTCTCAAAATTTTGACTTTTTTTTTCACTCGCGTAATAAACGCACCCCCAACTCGGACATCAAAATTCTGACCCCCTCCCCCCACGTGCGCGAAATGAACGCACTTTTCTATCCTGGTGCAGCGAGGTCGCGAATGCATGGGCAGCGTGGGCTAACGAAACGCCTTGCAAAAGGCGTTCAAAAAATTCGCATAGATCCAACGGAAGCAAGAAAAAAAACAACAGAGAGGAGCTTTTTTTTTTTGCACAGCGCAGTCTGGACGTTGGGTTCGCGCGCCGCCACGCGCAAGGAGGTAAAGGCCCATACGCACATTCGCGTTTAAGCGCGGTGCGTTCCGTAGCGGCAAGCGGACGCGTTGCGTTGCGAAGACCGCTTGCGCCAAACTTGTACGCACAGCTGCGTTGACACGCAGTCAGCCGCAGTCAAGAGCCAATAAGAACGCGCTATCGTCGCTAGTGGCTCACCAATATTAAGCGAAATCCAAGGCAACATGGCGGCGCACAGCGACAGCGTCAAGTGTTCGATCTTGGGAGAATCTCGCCGGCTTCCCCGACGTTTTGTCAGGCTTGAACCATCGCAGCCTTGGAAAATACAGTCCCCACCGCTCCCCAAAACGAAAAAGCAAGCATGCGACCGGCGAACCGGATACGTCTCGCCGAGTCGGCCCGGTGGGGCGAGCGAACACGTCACCCCTCTCCTCTTTCGGCTTCTGATTGGTCGAACGCACCTGAACGCACCGCAACGCTTCGGAAAGTTGAACAAGTCTCTACTCGCTTGCGTCGCGCTACCGAGCGTTGTGGGGAGGCGCGCGTCGCTCCGCAAGCGACCGCGCCTGGCCGCAAGGACTCCGCAACGCACTCAAACCATAGAGTTATTACAATAAACGCTAGAGGCTCAGCTGGCGCTAGTGTCTATGGGACTTCCGGTTGCAAATTGAAGCAGACAGCATGCAGTCTACTTTTCCAGTCTTCCTGTGTATTCCTATGGGAAAACGCGCGTGAATTTTGTCTCGTCGCCGGAAAATAACATTAATAACTTTTGTTATTTCGGTTGTACCGGGTAGTATGTACCTTTATTAATATTGTGAAAGTGTAATTGCTTTAGTTACAGCATTTTTCATTTACCACTCCCAAACCTCTGCTCCATGGCAGGTATGTAGAAACGAGCGACGATTCTAAGCAAAATAACGATCGAAAGGAATGTAGAGGGTGTTCAAAGTTCGCCAGCATTCCGTTGGTGCTTATATATTGCTTCTATGACCCCGTCGTGCATCTCTACGAGCGGTTAAAAAAAACGTTCGAAACGTAAAGAATGAAGTGCGTGGGCTACGAAAGGTGTATTTTCTTATTATTTCCTATGTTGGGCACTTTTTATCGCGCACCTGTCCTCTGGCTTCCCCCTATTTGCAAAGATTTGGAGCGTGCGGGTGATGATTTGAACACAGAACAAGCATCTTCGCACGTATTCATGAGCAGATAAATCGGACTATATTACGTGACTTTCAACTTATTTTGATCGTCTGCAAGCACAAGGAGTTACTTACCCACTGTTACTACGTGGTTCTTGCCGTCTCTCTTGGTTTTCCACATGTCCTCCTTCGTTCGTTTGGCACGTATATCCCCCATGCTGGAAAGCGTCGACGCCGTGTTCGCGCTAACAGTGTCCGACAGTGCACATAAATACACGTACGAAGCAGTTTTAACACAGTTTTTAATGCCGCGAATTTCAAATAAAAATGCTGTAACTGACCAATTATTTCATCTGCGTGACTGGGAAATGTTCCAATGTGCCTAGTACGTACAAATTATTCGTAATATTTGCTCTTATAATCGAGCGCAGAGAGAAAATGCACCCGCTTTTTCCCATAGAAATGCATTACCGGAAGTCAATTTCTGACTGCATGCTGTCTGCTTCAATTTGCAACAGCACACTAGTGCCAGCTGAGCCTCTAGCGTTTATTGTAATAACTCTATGACTCAAACGCGTTCAAACGCGAATGTGGCGAATGTGCGTATGGGCCTTAAGAATGAGAAGCAGAGAAGCGCTCTAAGTGAAGGAAACAGCTAGCAAAAAATCACAAAAAAAAAAAAAAAAACCACCGAATTGAGAAAAAAACAAAAAAGATGAGCTTTTCTTTTCTTTTTTTTGCACAGCGCAGTTTGGTTACTGGGGGGCGCGCGCCGCGTGCAAGGAGGTAAGAAAGAGGAGCAGAGAAGCCCCCTAAGCAAACAAAACAGCTAGCGAAAGGCGGCAAAAAAAAAAAAAAGAAATCCACGGAGCTGAGAAAAAAAAACAAAAAGATGAGCTTTTTTTTTATTCTTTTTTTTTTTTTTTTTTGCACAGCGCAGTTTGATTACGGGGGTCGTGCGTCGCGCGCAAGGAGATAAGAAAGATAAGCGGAGAGCCCCCGCCTAAGCAACGCCTAAGCAAACAAAAAAGCTTGCGAAAGGCGGCAAAAAAAAAACAAAAAAAAACAAGGAACTAAGAGAAAAAAAGAAAGAAAGAGGAGTTTTCTCTTTTTGCACAGCTTAGTTTGGTTAGGGGATCGGGCGCCGCGAGCAAAGAGATAAGAAGTTACTTCGATTTTTCAGGATAAAAGGTCCGTTCATTATGCGAGTAAATACGGACGCAAAAATTTTACTTCGCGTAATGAACGCCCCCCCTCCCCCAACTTTGCATCGATTTTTCGAAAAAAAAAAGTGTGTTCATTCTGCGAGTAAATACGGTAGTTGTGTTTTCAGTGATATGATTGGCCTAAGCCGTTTTGGAGCACCTTTCGGAGCAGCCAAAACAGTGTTTTGGAGCAGCAAAAGTGGCCTTTGGAGCAGTCAGAACATTGTTTTGGAGCAGAAAAAGTGGCTTTTGGAGCAGCCAAAAACGTGTTTCGGAGCAGCGAAATTGGTTTCTGGAGCGGATATTGTTAGAAAAATAAAAATATTTGTTTCATTTGCTGGACAAACGAAGGGCACTTTGCTCGCCGCAATAAACAGATGTCAAGTTAGACCACCTGGGAGTCCTTCAACATGTAACTGAAATGCCAATGACATGACACATTTTGCAATGCTTCAGTTAAATGATACATATATATGTACCCATTATAGATAAATATGAACCAAACTGCACATATTAAACTTAATTTAAAAATGACCACCTTAGTAGTAAATATTACAGCATTAGGTTGACTAGATATATAATAAAAAAATTGAACCAGTCTCCGACTGATTAAACACATAACTACTGCAGTGCAATGCGAAATTGTACACAAGACTAAGGTGCATTATGACTAGCGAGTGCTTTTGTTTTTGCTTTTCGAAACTTTCTGCAAGGCTGCTGCAAGTGCTGCAAGCCTTGCTTTGCCTTTGGCTAGTAACGAATGGCCACTTTCAATGCCTCCAAAAAGACATAGAGACATCCCACAAGTCTACACACATTGCTGCAGGCACTGCCAAGCAATTTCGAAGAATGGCTTGCCACCGTTTTACTGGCTTCCGGCGTGTCAGAGTTTCGTCGAAAGTAAACGAACATAAAACAATGAGTTTTAAGCGTCCCGGCTGGTGCCTCTCTCGTGCATTCATGTTGGCATGCACATTGTGCAACTTCTGCGAGTTTGCAGTTGCACGTGCTTCGTCGCGCGAGCAGATATGGCTGTTTGATCGAAACGGAAACCATGCCACTCCACTCCGTCGCCAACTGATTACCAGAAATGTATGCAAAATGTAACTGTCCAGCATACGACAAAAAGCAGTCTGGTGGCACAGGCTTGCCAGGCCGGCAGGCGAGGTACAAACTAAACACACACAAAAAAAAGAACCTGAGCGCATAGATGCAAGACATCGCGAGCCAGAGGCAAGAAGCTCTTGGAGCGCTTTGTGCAACGGCTGAACTCGAACTCGCAGTGCGGGTTTAGCGAGCAGACATTGCATTATTTGCTTTAGTTCGCTCCTCGTCAGTACCTTTCTTTCGCGGCAGATTTTTCACGTACCAGGATCCCTCTCAAAAGAAAGCCCACCGAGAGAAACCTAGGCA